GAGTTGAACTGTGGAGTCCTTGGTGCTCTCTGAGTTTGGTTTTTGCTTGCAGATATTTCATTGGCCAACTAGGTAACATATGTTCTGAGAGTCAATGTGGGATTTGCTCTCTGTTTATATCCAACAGTTTGTCCTGCCAGTGTTGGTCAAGATGTGGTTTTCTAACTTGTAGTTCCTTGATTAGTGTATTGTGTTCTGCTTGACTATTTATCTGATGTTAATCCCTGTTTATCTGGGAGTTGGCTGCTGGAGAGGACCTGTTCTGGATTTTTGTGGTGGTATTTCTTTCTGAGATTTTTTTTAATGTCTCTTTTGAATGGTGTGTAAATGGTTTATTTCTATATGTTTATTGATTTTTATTTTTGTCACTATATATTTTTACTGAATATGATTTAATATTGTCCAATTAAAAACTGACTCACAATATAGGAAAGAATAAAAATATAATACAAAGTAAGTAAAGAAGATTGGGATGTAATCATTTGACACAAAAACATATGCAAAAATACCAAATTAGGGAGTCCATCCAGTGTAACCCAGGCCTGGGAGACTAAGTCTTCAACATCTTTGGGAATGTCAACAGGATTGGAGCACCATAGAATTTGTGAGGGATTGCATGCCAAAAAACAGGTATCATAACTGAGATATTAAATTTATGTATACTGAGTAATACAAAGATGATATAATGGTTCTATTTCCCCTAAAATAAATCATCAACTTCTTTCACTATTATTGCATTGAGCTCTACTAGATTAAATCTAATAGTGATTGTAGCTGTAGACACAGGCAGGTCTAGTGAACAGGTTAGTTAAAGTGATTATTCCAAAGATCTTAAATAATGCATTTGAGAACAAGGGGAAAAGCTCTCTTTATTTCTTACAATGGACAAGTTCATTATTTATTTTTATATGATCAGAATTAAGAGTCCAAATAATAATTTGGGGACCCTCTTTTCTATAGATATCCCTTTTATTAATACCACTGGACATTTCCGCAAAATACATTTCCATATACACTTCTGTACTATCCTTGAGGTAACCTGAAAATTCTTATTCTCTGCCATTTGTTTGATATTTCTTTCCATTCATCCACTTACTTACTACAACAGCTGCATCTTATTTTCATGATCCCTTGTCTCTTTGCTTCATTTTAACTCATGCTTTCATTTGAGCTTACTTTAGTTATTCAGCAAAGACAATATTACTAACCACAGTTTTTAATAAAAAATATTTCTGCTGAAGTTTTGCATACCAGGTGGATTTTGAAAAAATAATACAAAAGGCCTACAAGCCCCAAACAGGATATTAATAGCAGGTGAAGATACCTGTGATTCATTCTTTATTATTTCTTTCCATCAGTCCCCACTGATATGTAAGAGAACAAGTATTAAATCAGTAGTCGGTCAAACCAAATTGAAATATATCAGTTTCTCAAAGCAAAGCAGACCAAAACAGGGAATATAAGGAGGTGAAGGAGTGGGTCCACATATTAAAAAACTGAAGAAAAAGACATGCGATAGAAAAAACAACAACAAGGAACTAAGATAGAAATGTAAGGAGAACTAATGTGTTCCCATTTTCCTTTAGTGGTTTCCCAATTATTTATGATAACTGAAAATATTGTGATATCTGTACACAAAAGACTTTTATGTAGCGCTACAGAAAATTAGCAAGTTTCTAGTCAATGAATTTGTACTTCTTTTGTACTATTGCTACCGTATTATTATAACAAATGGAATGATGCAATTGTTCTATGTGGTAATAGTGAAATTCTATATAAATGAGGATCATTTATAACTAAAGAATGAAATGGTATACATTCTTACTGACTTACTAGGAAACCCTATTTCTAGGAATCTTGTTTTAACTGAAGGCTTGGAACTATCATTTATCTTTCCTTTTACACTCAGCTTCAATTACAGCATTAATTGATTTTTTTGCCCAGAATAACAAGAAGAGCTGTTTCCCTTAAGGAAATTAAATAATTTAATTAATTAAAAAATATTTGCACTGATTTTTTCCCCGCTTCTAGAAAGTTTAGGCCAATTAATGGAATAAACTTCACGTTCATATTGAGGCACTACATAAGTTAATGAAATATCTTACTTAATAACTAATTAAAGAATTAAATTAAACTTTTTTTAGGAGTGGGGATCATGTGGCCTGGATTTGTCCAGTATTATGCTTTTGTCTAGAGTGCATTTCCAAAAATATTAAGTTACAATTTGAGCACTGTGAAGAACTTTACTTTTTCATATCTTCTTCTTTAATATAATTTTTACTGAAGAATAAAATAAAATACCTTTAATAAGGTAAAAACAATGAAAATATTTAAAAGGAAGAAGTTAAGGAAGAATACAAAATAAGTAAGAAAGAAAATAGAAAAAGAAAATAAAAGATTATAAAGAAGTTTCCGGGTTTTTTGACAATGGTTATAAAGGACTTTTTTATCCATTCTCTAAGGTTACATCATAATTTCTTTTCTTCAATATGTTATTGTTGTGTCCATTTTATCATATAGTCTTTTACTTGTTCTACTTCTGTTTCAAATTACAGTATAAGTTTATGGCAAGTATATGTTCAACTTCACCTTCTATATTGCTTCTACATTGTTCAACTTCACCTTCAAATTCTGTCTTCTGCTGCTCCATTCCAAATATCCAATTTTCTACCTTTAATCTTTCTCTTAACTGTACATATGAAATCTATTAAAAACTAAATCCCTCTGGGGCCAGTTGCTTTCTCAATTTCATCTTATATTCTCTATGTCCCCTTTCTAAGAACACTTGATAACTTAACCATTTTTCTTTACCTGCAATATTTTTTTCTATAAAATGCTTCTTGTGAATAAGGCATTTTGGGACACACTCTGGGTTTAATATCTGTTCCATATTCTCAAAATGTACTACTAATTTAAAGATTCTTAAAATCCACATTAACCTTAACATTATTGTACAACAAAAAATGGTGCCACCTGAATCACAGATCAAGCCCTTCTAATTCTGTATTTTTAAAAAAATTTCTGATGAGAAAATCAACTGATTATTGGATTTTTATTACCAAACTCTCTAGAACATTGTAAAAGTAATAAAGGTGAGATACAAACAAACAAACAAACAAACAAACAAACAAACAGAATGGTACTATTTTGGCCAGCAACCAAGTATTTTATACATTGGAGGTATAAGGGGAGGTATAAAGGGAGATATAAGGGGAGTGTAATATCAATTTATTTTAAGGAATGAGCATGCAAAGAGAGGTAATATTGACTGAGTTCCCCAAGTCATGAAAATAGATGAAATGTATTCTAGCATGTTTCACATTTTAGGATATCAAGTGCCTTCCCCAAATTTATTATGACAGTACTCTTGCCCCAATTAAAATAAAGAATTTACTATAAGTTTTTGAAAAGTTTGTAAATGGACTTGATCTTTGACATAATTAGAAATTCTAGAACCGGACTGAAGAACCGAAAACATCACAAACATCACAAGGACTGAGCCTTATCTGTCATCATGAATGCTGTATGTATGCACAAAAAGTTATAGCACCTTTTGATCATTGAAACATTAATATTGTCTTCATTTTCTTTGCATTTAATGATTCCCTGTCTTAGGTATAATTTTTTGCCAAGATTGTAAGACCTTTGTTAATGTACTGTATGTTATGCTATTGACATTGCTCATTAGCCCTTCCCACAGATTCCCATTTGGGATTAGGTGTGGATGATAACTTCTTTTAATTTCTGCAAAACGAATGCATGATTTTCAAAAGTTCCCCTTTCAGATAGTACTTTCTAATTTAGAATTAGAACAGAAATCCATATGTACCAGACTTACCATTTTTATAAATATATTATTATATGATTTTAGACAAGTCTCATCTTCAGTTCTCTTTATAATGATTAATATCAATTTTCAGATACAAACATATTCAGGGTACCAATATATACTCAAAATTCACCTATTTTTTTGTTCAATGATACAATGGTAGAAAAAAATATTCATCTTGCAGTAGTATATTTTGGTGATTGCAACTTAGTTGTAGATTTAGCACTTGTGAATTCTACTCTATGATCCCTTTGCAAAGTTGGGAGAACAACTAAAATATCCAACTATGATCACCCCATTTCAGGTATCATGGCATATCACTGTATATCATGGAAAATGGCTAGATTTTTTCCATAGCTCTGGTGTGAAACAGCGATTGCTCCAGTGGAAAATCAGAATGTTAAAATATTTGTGGCAGAATTTTAAAATAGAGTCAACCACTGTCTGTCATGACTATTACAAATCATCAAGTCTGTAATATGGATTCTACATTGCGTCAAGTGATTCACCAAAAAGTCCTCTGATGACTTTTGTGGTAAAGAATATCATATTATTAAGTGTTGGCTAGCAAATATAAAATAATACTGATACGATCTGGGCTTCATTGAACATACTAGAATAGCCAGGAATGCTTGATGGAATCCAAAACAAAAATACAAGGAACATAGATATCTATCTTCAAGCACAGATGGATATAATTTCTATTTGCTGGTTTTTCACTATAATTTTATCAGGGAAGTAGCCATGTATGATTTTATGTATGGCATTCTATACAGTCACATGACAAACAAGTTATACTGTTTCTATTGTCCAACTAGCATAATCAGAGTTAAGAGGTAGAATTCTGAAATAGAAAACTCTTTTGACCTTGAGTTTTAAATAAATTGGATGTGTATTGCTAGAATTAACAGAATGGACTGAAATATTGATAAATATTGATAATGATAAAATATTGCTAATATTGCTATTGCTTAACGCATTGTAAGCCACCCTGAGTCTTCGGAGAAGGGCGGCGTATAAATCAAATTTAAAAAAAATTAAAATTGATAGAATAGGGAAAAATCTAATTAACTAATTCCAATGGCAGGTATAATTTTTAGTCAGCGTAAATTTCAAAATCCAAAATCCAAAATATAATTTGGATACTAAAAAAGGAAATATTCATACTTACTGATTTGATTTCTTACATCGTTTACTTTTTGTCCCAAAGATTTTGCTTCCGCAAACCTGATAAAAGCAATCAAGTTTAGAATTTTTACTGATGCATTGTACAACTAGTCAACATTTCTGTACTATTTTCAGTTGTGGTTTGCCTGCACATTAAGTTAAAGCTGAATCTATGGCAATGAATCACATTAGACTGACAAAGTGGCAAGTTACATTATATTTTGTATTGAAAATATATGTGTGTGCGCGCGCGTGTGTGCATGCACAGTCGGTTACTGTTACCCACTCTCTGTTAACAGAAATAAAAAGTTATCTTTTTCACTCTGCATTCTCATATTGTTAAAATTATTCAGCATCCTCACTCACCAAATCAAGTGTTTTGATTGTCTGGGTATTTTGCTAATGTTATTTCTTTAAAACAAATATTCTGAGGAAGGAAGGAAGGAAGGAGAAGGAAGGAAGGAAGGAAGGAAGGAAGGAAGGAAGGAAGGAAGGAAGGAGAAGGAAGGAAGGAAGGAAGGAAGGAAGGAAGGAAGGAAGGAAGGAAGGAAGGAAGGAAGGAAGGAAGGAAATAATCAATCAAATATCCTAAGCCAGAGATAAGAAATAATAGCAATAACAGTTAGGCTTATATACCATCCCATAGTGCTTTACAGCACTCTCAGAGCAATTTACAATGTAGAAGCATTATTTGCATATTGGCCCAACAATCTGAGTCCTCATTTTACTGATCTCGGAAGGATGTAAGGCTGACTCAACCTTGAGCTTCATCAAGATTGAACTATGGACACTTTGCCTGCAATACTACACTTTAACCATTGCACTACCAGGGCTCTTAACATAAAGTATGTTGGACTTACTTAGAATAAGTAAGAGTAGTCCAAGTCCTACATTTTTTCAGCCCCTCCCTTTTTTAAAAGTAACAGTAATATTGTCTTTTCTTAGAACAAACCAAAGAAACATTTTTAATTTTGCTAGCCACTCAAGTCACATATTGTTAAGTAATTAAAAAAACAAAGCGACAAACATCTGTGCTAAACCAACAGGTGCTAATCTCTTCATGGTCTAAAAAAAGTGGTATCTCTCAGACTGGGATGTGAGTGAATTCAGACTTTGCTGGTAAGAATGTCCTACATGACATCGCTTCTACTTCTACTAGTTACATTTGGTTTCTAGGTGCTTTCTAAATAACAATAATTCTGTATGTAAGAAAGCAACATGTCTTTGAAGATAAATCTGACTTATACAGTATTTGTGTGGACAGAGCTATATTGTTTTCTTGTCAATTATACAGAAGTGATCTACCATTGCCTTCTTCTGGAATGTGTTTTGATTTCCCGTCTAGCCTATAGCACTGGAATTTCCTGGTGGCCTAGCATGCAAACACTAACAAGATCTGATTCTTTTTTCATGATCAGCCATGATTTGCTACATTGCTACCACTGTTGTGACTAACTCTGCTTTTATAACCTCCCAAGTATCATGAAGCTTTAATTCTATTAATAAAGTTGTAATAATTAACGAGAGGAGATCCCATAGACAAAATCCTGAGGACAAATGGAATGCAGGGAAGTTGGGAACTTCTCAAAACCTAGATGCTGAAGGTATAAATGCACAGTATTCTGAGAAGGAAAACTGGGAGGGCACCAGGGAAACCCCCTCTCTATGATTAGCTTTTTTCAGTTTTAACTGAATTTAGAATCCAAAGTGTATATAGAAAATGGAGGATGGGAATAGTCACCAAAGAGTTATGGCCCTTGCTTAATGAGGGTAAGTAGGACCAGCAACTGCATCCCTAAGCAATGTGTTTGTAGGATATGGTTTTAAAGTGCAACATCATGTGACTGTGGCAGTTTACCACAGCAGTTGTGACAGTCCCAGTTGTTGTTCTTAGGAGAATCCTGCATGATTGCAGAGTCCCATGGTCACGTGATCACTGCTTGCAATCTCCTGCCAGCTTTTCCAATGACTTTGCTTATCAAAAGCTGGCAGTGAAAGTTACAAATGGTGATCAGGTGATTCCAAGATGCTGCAACATTGTAATTGCAGCCCAGTTGCCAAGTCCCAGAATTGCAATCATGTGCCTGCAGGAACACAGAGACAGCTGCAATTACAAGGACCCATTTTCAGTCTTTATTCAACATTGTACTCTTTTCATTAGTTTGATCTTTATATTTAATTTTAATCCCATTTTTTCACTATCCTCATTGATTTTTATTACCAGACCTTGCAGATATTTTGCATTTTGGTTATTAGATAATATTATCAGCATAGCACAAATTAACGATTTGTTTCTTCCTCCAATTTTAAAATCATGCTCATCTTCTTTCAATCCAGCTTCCCTTCATATTGAGCATGTAGGATGAGTAAATAAAGGAAGAATATATTTAGCAGATATTTCATAGGACTTTAGTGCAACTTTAATAGTACCATTGAGTGAGAAGTTGTTGACCTATAATGTGTTAAAACATATTGTGATGATTGAGATTTGAAATTGCCTAAAACCTTTGGATGTGTTTATCAAAAGGTTTTAGGCAATTTCAGATCTCAATCATCACAATATGTTTTAACAAATTATAGTAGTTAACTGATGTGCTAGTTGTAATTTGCCTCATAGATGTAACCGGAATCTGCATACCCAAAGTATTTTCCGTTCCCTTTCCTTCAGGACATCCCCCCAATTTAAATCCTACCTTAGTCTAGCTAGCCACTCTATGTGTCTGATGAAGTGAGCTACAGCGCATGAAAGCTTATACCTAGTAATAATATTTTTTTAGTTGGAAAAGGTGTTACAAGAGACCATATTTTACCCTCCACCCCAAGAGTTAAGAAGTAGGTAGATAACATTTGGCTAATATGAATGTGTTTACATCTTCAAGAACAAAGTAGCTACATACATGAGTCTTGAGGGAGGTTGAGAATGTCATCTTGCAGCCCTTTTGGTGATCTTTAAAAAATCATGTAGGATGGGCTTAAAGCCAGGAGCTAGGGTAGTGTAAATGTTGTTCCTATCTTCACAAAATGGGAAAAAAGAAGATTCAGGTAACTAGAGACTCTTTTACTGCTACCCTGATTTACTACTAGGCAAAACATTGGCACAGATTTTAACCAGTCAGTTGGTGAGTATTTAGAAAAGAATGCATTGCTTGGCAGGAGTCAGCATGATTCAATCAAGAATAAATCATGCCAAACTAACCTGATCTTCTTTTTTGATAGTGTGACCAGTTTAGTTGACCACAAAAATGTTGTGGACACAGCATATTTTGACTTTAGCAAAGCATTCAACAATGTTTCCCATTACATTCTTGGTAGAGAAGATTGCAAAATATGTGCTTAACTATTCTACAATTAGATGGGTAAGTGCGGGTTGAATCCAGTATTAACAGCTCTAAAGGTTTGATGAGATGTATCACAGGTCTCTATTTTAGGCTTTGTGCTATTTAACAAATGAATAACAGTTTATGAATTCTGCATGGAAACAGAGGAAACAGGAAACACCTTGAAGGACAGTATCAAAATTCTGGGACAAATAAAAACTCCTATTATTTGGGTAAGAAAAATGAAGTATAAATATTGAGAGTATAAGATGGGGGATCATATTTGGCAGCAGCATATGGAGTAGGACCAAAAAGAGATTAACCAAAATAACAGGTCTGGAAAGATAATTCTAGGAGGAAGGATTATAGGTACTGGTATATTCAGCTTGGAGAAGAGATGACTGAGGGAAACTCCACATCTATGTTCAAGTAATTGAAGGGGTATCATGTAGAAAATGGGTCTAGAATTATTATAGAAGATGGGACAAACAATAATTGGACAAGAAATTCAGGGACAAATATCAAAATTTTACTTGGGCCCTTGAGAAAATTTCCCAATAACAAGAGCTGTTTAACCATAGAACAAATTGTACCAGGAGTACGGTGGACTCTTATTTTGCTGAATGTATTTAAACAGAAGCTTGGTAACAACTGTCAGCAATGCTATTATAGTGGATTCTTGCACTAGATAATCTCTGAGATTTCTTTCAATCCTTACATCCTATGGTTCTATGTAACTACGTATAGAATATGTTTGTGAAAACTGTTTGTGGATTTCAACTGGTTCAGAATCCAATAAATCAACTGTTGCAAAAAGCATATTACATAAATGCTTAGTTATACTGATAATCTATTCATTTTCAATCCCAATTCAGTTTTAAAAGGCTTGAACAGGTTGGAGTCATGCATTTTAGGAAACCTGTTGACAGTAAAACATGTCTGAATAATCTTGCATCTAAATTATTATGTGTTTTATGTAGGCAACCTTTGAAGATGGTTTGGAAGCTCTAGCTGGTACAGAATGCTACCACTAAATTACTGACCAGGATGCAATGCAAGAGTCATATTACACCTACTCTATGATTTGTACAGCCTGCCTATTTACTGCTAAACCTATTTGATGGTTTTGATGTTGATTTGGAAGATCCTATGTTGTTTGGGTTCAAAGATTGTGAAATTTCTTTCCCTGTATGTCATAACTGAGCCTCTGAGCTACTTGGAAGGGAATCTCTTTGTTGTTTGCTAATGGGCAATTCCAGGGAGATAGTTACTCAGCAGCTTCCAAAACAGGCTAGGCATTTTTATATCCAATTCCAGTTTTACCCAAACTGGTTATTTTATTTTGGTTTTGCAGATGACTTGTGCCTATGATTTTACAGTACTTGATCATTATTTTTATTTGTTACCAAGAAAACTACAAGGACCAGCATTTCACTCTGTGTGTGTTCCTTGGTTAACAACCATTCATTTTGTGAGTGTTTGAAGTTATGGCAGTGCTGAACAAAGGGATTTAAGACCAGTCCCCAAAGTTACGGTCATTGTAGTGTTCCCAGTGCTGCATGGTAAGAATTTGGGCATGTAGCAACTTACCTGTACTTATGATTGCAGGAATGCTTCAACTCCCCCACCTGCCTATTTCATCCCTGCTGCCCTGGCCCATTACTGCTGTCTTTTTGCTGCCATTGCAGTCTGGCTATTCATGAGGCAGCTGCTGGCCACTTGTTTTCTACCCCCGTCACACAT